TATTGTACACTTGTTTGAGAACAGACTGTGTGCTAAGCAAACCATGGTAAAATAATCTTTGTGAAAAGGAAAACGTTCTATGATTGGCTTGTGGGCTGAATACTGCCAGGTTGTCCAGGCCAAGACAGGTGAATTTTCTTGAGGAATTCACAACCGGAGCCTTCAGCTAGCCACAGCCTGACCCCCAAGGCAGCGGGGCGGTGTGTGAACATCGTAGTCCATAGGGAGCCGGCGTCCAGTTCATCGGATCATACGCCCTTTTGACGGGGTGAAACGCCCAAGGTGCCTCATTGAGCCGGTGACCACAGCCACAACCGAAAAAGTGTGGGTGTGGTTCGTACGCCTCCTCTTGGTTGCTTTGGAATCAGGGGTTTTAGCCAACTCCTTTAAGTGAACTATCAGTGGTCCACCAACCCGGTTATAGCCCCGGATGTCGGCTCTTCGTCCTCTCATTTTGGTGGGAAAACACCTCCGCCACGGGAAGACAGTGAGTAGGGTTTCCTCAGCAGATGCTATTTGAGACGCTGGGTCGTATGGGAGTATTTCGCGAGGTGCAAGGTTGGGGTGACCAGCCTCAACCCTAGACACCCATTTCCGACCATATTGAGGCTTTCGGAGGCACCAGAAACACTTACTTTTCCGTGTACACAGAAGGAAAATGTTCGCTTAAAATCCTTTCGGATAATTAGTGCGAATCTTGATATTATGACTTTTCAATGATATATGCCTTGACTCTCATCATAAATGTAGTAAGCAACTGCCTTCTTGTTAAGGAACCGTCATTATGTTAAGATGGAGCTGCAAAACCCGTCAAGCTGCGCCCGCATCCACGTCATACTACAAGCGTTCTCACGACGTCATCATCGTCGTACGGCGAGATACAGTGAAGCGAACCTCACTGGTCACTGCCAAGCTCACAATGTACACAAATCAAGTGATGGCGCACAAAATGGAGAGGGATTGGGCCGAATTGGAGGGAGGCAAAGAAAGAGAACCGCTATGGTCAACACGAAGTACACAATCTAAGTGTGAATACATGGCTTTTCAGGCGTTCTGTCCTGATAGGAAACGAAATCAAGAATGCCACTGCTGTCTGTTCGCTGCCATATCCTTCAGTTTATTCAACCAGCCAGGTGCATAGTCTTTAGAAACCCAACCTGGAAGACGAGAGACATATTCTACCTACTAGCCCCGTGCATTTCTTCATGCCTCGTTTTGACGTCATCTATTGACCTCCATGTGGTTTCTTCCAACCTGGAGCCGCAACTGTGCGGTGTGGTAGTCCATGACTGGGCATTCGCAATACGTGTCCTAACCAGCGAAGCCGAATAATCTAAATCCGATGGGACAACGAATTCTCCATCGTCACCTTGCTTACACGCTCGCTCCATCCAACTCGCACCAAACTACGTAAACATCGGCAGTCGAAAACTTCAAGACGACGAATATCTTCCACGGGCGAATTTAGGGTCACACAACCAAAATGCAGAACTGACCGCACTCTGGCGCAGTATATGCGACCTTTGGTGTCCTACGTCATCTGCTCGAACCTTGGAAATGCTGGCGTTTACCTCGTTGACTATGCTACAGACATTTGTCACGCAGCTACCTAGGTACGAGAAGCAGTGAACTACAGTTAATTCTTAACCACCAAGCATCGGCGCCGGGGTAGACGACACCCAGTTTTGTAGCATCACTTTGCACTTTGAAGGTGCAAAGCGCATGCCGAAAGGAGTTACGGAGCTTGCTAGTCAGTCAAGTGATCTTTTTTCATCCTCTATAGATTCGAACATACATCAGCGTACTCCAAATCGCACAGCTTTTCTCCAACTGTCCATTCAATACTGACGTTTTGAAGACCACTACGTGCGTTCTCCAGTATTTTGTCTATAACGAAATTGAACACGAATGGCGAACTTTTTACTTAGCGCACCGTAGACCCCTACGCTACCAGAAGTATGCAAGTACAGCGGCCGCAATAAGGTTACAAACTTGCGCTGCAATCCTTTGCGAAGCAGCGACTCCAGAAGATCTTCACGGTCAATCGAATCGAAGGCTCCTTTTAGGTCAAGGAGCACCGCAATTGCTGGTCGACGATGTGTGTGACACAGTTCGGGGACTTGACGCAGGGTGAAGATTTGGTCGATACAACCGCAACCTGGTAGAAATCTGGCTTGCTGTTCGTAGATATTCATCTCTCTTAAAGGTATCAGGCGGCGAAGTATTACAGAAGTCAACACTTTTGTGATTATTGGAACTGAACTAATCCCGCTGTGGTTTGCGTAGTCTTGGCGTGATCCCTTCTTGAAAATGGGGACGATCATCGATTCAGCCCTTCGACTAAATGCTGCGAATGAATCTAGTAATCGAGTCAACAAGAGAATCACCGCCCACATTAAACGAATATAAAGAAGCCCATCAGGTCCGGCTGTCTTCGCTTTCTTTAATGATTGAATGCAGCCTCGTACTTCTAATTCTGATGGGGACTGGTTTGTTACCTCCCATGAGGTTTCTCCGCAATCGATGGAATGACCGCATTAGAACTGGACCGTTTGAAATGTCCATTAAAATACTTTGCCAAACGATCAAGTCGTTCTTCTTTATTGTGAATAATTTGTCCATGTTTATCGCAAATGGTCTCATTGACCGGCATGCGACGACCTCCGGTGCTACGTATCAGGTGTAACAGTCTTTACCTCTTCCCTGATGCAGAAGCTACCTCCATTTCACTAGCTATTTTGGCAGACCCATTTACGCGATCGTTCTTAAGGCTTTTCCTGAGTTGACGCTGCAGGCAATACCGACCACTATGCTGATCCTGGCAGATTGGAATCTTTCGGTTTTGATCCATCACGATTACTGATTTACTTTGAAGGGCCCCTAGATTGACAGGTTGACGATGCTTCAAAATTTGCAATTCATTTACAGACAAACTACTTGCAAAGCTATTTAGTGACGACCTTTGGCGAGTGACGACCACGTTGTCTGAGGGAATGTTACAGGTTGGAAGAAGGGGTAAAGGGAGAGGATTGAGTACGGAAGATAAAGAGTTAAGCAAAGGTTAGGATGTCAGCAATAGCCCATTTATCATTACCCACCCCGCTAGATGCAAAGGCCAGCGCGGTTCTGATTATCCTGCGGGATGACCG